ACTGTGAGTGCTATCTAAAGGTATATCAAGATAATGAACAAAGTTTATTTGAGACAAAGGATTGTTGTTTTCACTGTGGGGTCTGTCGGTTATGAATAGCGTGCAGACTTATATAGGGATTCAAGTGATTTTCTGGTTTTTAAGCTTAGCCCCTATAAAGAGAAGGATGGCTTAATTTGAGCAATAGTGTCAGTGAGGGAACTTAGTTCGGAGAAAGAAGAAATGGGCTGGTGCAGGATAACACTATCTGCATATTACAAAACACGTGCACGAGAAACACAAGGAATATCACAAATATACGTGTCAAATCATTGGGGAAATAGCACAGCTCTTTGAAGAACTCCGGATTTGTTGAATAACGGTGTAGATGGAGCCTTTCCAAGTTAACATTTGCTTGGAAATTCAAACAAACCCAGTTTTTGATCGAGGAATGGTATCACATACTCAACAACGATTAATGAAAACACACTGAACAGAATTATTCAAACATTTAGTGATAAAATGAACAAGGGTGGAGACTGCGTTCAAATTCTATCTGTTATGCTTGTCAGCAAACTGTAACGGATCATTGGGAATGTTTATAGACTATTGAAGGCGTTTGACCATAGCTTTTACAGTCAACTTAAGTGCTGAAGATGCTAGCAATATAGAACAAAAACATTTAGGGAAGACAGAATATTTGAATGTTGTGATGATTGTTATGGCTGTCAGGTCTCCAACAGTCTGGGATGTTAGAAAAACACAGAGATTTCTTTGCAGTGGAGGTGACTACCCCAATTGGGGAAGCAGAGCCAAATTTGAGGAGTGCCGGACGTGAACTATCCGGGCCTGCAGCACAGGACGAATTATAAGTATTTAAAAGTAATAGCACATTATAATTTGAGAATGGTTCCATATTACAAATATTGTGTAGTGAGTAGTAAAGACGAACGTTCGATGACTGGCGAAGGAATGCGGATTGTAATCGTCAACATCAATATCCCTCTTCAACTGTACTTTCTTTCTTCCACAGAGAAGTAGGATGCCTTGCTACAGGTTTTCGACGTTTACCACTCTCAGACTTCGGTCAAGTTCTCATTTATGCTTTTTAGCTTTGATACGTCTGGATAACTACCTGACAGATAAAGCATTATGAGACTTGTATGCGCGTTCCCTTTTGTGTTCGCAGCGACTTTCGTAGTGAAAAGGTTGTTCCTATGTTGGACATATACAGACTTTTAACGAGAAAGGAATAATTTTAAAAGGAATTAGTTGTTTGAGTAAATATCACACAGGTGAATAGAGACGAAGGAGATAAAGAAAATAATAACGAAACCATTCTGAGAAGTCCCTAAAGAAGTGAAAATTTGTCAGTGAGAGGCCGCGAAAGCGATATATAATGTGATAGGATTAGAAAAACGATTTATGGGTACAATGTGAATAATGCTTTTATTGACCAGAGAGCAGACGATGTTCTTTAATGGTAACTTGTGCTTCTAGCGCTAAAAAATAAAGGGTCATGTTGTTAGTGTTTATTCCATCCAGTAAAGACACCTTTTGAGGGAAAGTGACAAAGAGCTTTCATATACAATCATAAAAGAGAATAAGTACTAGTGTGGTTAAAGCCCCTTACCAATATGTGTGAGATAAAATCTCAAAGCGGATAATAAAATGTTTAAATGAGCAAGAGAATGGCAAATGATCTGATTGTGTAGAGAAAGGTACTGTGTATAAGTTAGTGAAAGTTGTTTAAGTAAGACGGTAAAAGCTTTGGTGACGATTAACAGTTAGGTATCCAATACCTTTGGATAAGTACTGAAAAATAACGTGGGACATTTCACACTAGGAAACTTGGACGTATTTTATGAGACTCTTATCCCAGTCTTTTTTCCTCTGGTTCCACAATCATTTAGGTGAACTTGAAAAGAGTCCAGCGAAACCACGGAGTGTCATCCACATTCTTATTCTGCCACGATTCTCGCATACAGATTACAAAAACGTTCACACGTATTCTTCAGCAGAGGAAATTGGTCAAATCCAAATTATTTGAAAGTGACCGAATGTCATTATTGACTAATGAGGGAACAGTCATCTTGGCTAGAGGGGTGCAACTAAGGGCAACTTCCCAGCCCGCTGGTCTGGGAATTCGGTACAATCTGAACAATGAGTAGCACAAGTTGCTGAGCGACCAAAAGATGTCCCGGTATGTTCGGAAAAAATAATTTGATCCCGAGCGTAGCAACCACGGAAGATAGTCATTGAAAGTGTTAAAATTACAAAACTGACTAAGAGCGTACGGGTTTGTTGCAGATAATCAAAGGTTTTTGCATACCTGTACAGCTGTTTCGACCTGGGTGGATCTCGTTAGTAGTGCGAATCCATCGAACCGACGTGGAATAGAATCAAAAACCATATTAAACAAACGCAAGCAAAATATACACTAACTACCGGGAAGCTGACTAGATCTTTTATTGCTTCTGTTCATACCTGATATGGCACAATCCATCTCTTTCAGCTTGAGAGGGGCATCATACCTAGCTCAATTAAACACTACCTCCGAGGGTTATGGCTCGGTTGAAAACATTCCGAACCCGACTGCTTTTTTCATGAATCACGGAGAATATTATTCGATTGTATAGCGCATTCGGTCCTGTACAGAGCAAAGGAAGGGTAAACTGAAAAGCCGAGAAGCACTGACGGTGTGACCTGAACAGTTCACGCTTCGTTTACCCCGTTCATGATCAACTTTGTCATGGAACGGGAGGAATTGTGGCTCATTACAATGGTCCTTGCATTGAGGAAATTCATTGTAGAATCTCTCAACATGTACTTCTGATAATTTCAAATGCACTGCCACAACTATGTCATTTTTTATTGTCCTAGACTATTTAATTTCCATCATTTCTACTTTTCAGATGCATTACATTCGATTTTCTCATCATTCAATTTACTGGTAAATGATGTACAACTTTCAGTATTTCGGAATTATGAGTAGTAATTGTCATGACCTGCTGTGATTGTTAGTTAAAACAACAAAGACGTGGCAGATATGCTTTTAGCAATAGTGAATAATTTATCAAGATGCAGCACCTAAAATATTCACTCTTATGACATGGATAACGCCCTCAGGTGGGTCTTGATTTTTCGCATTTCCTAAACCAAAGTATGAGCAGTTGTATATTAGGCGGGCAACCGACTTCGGCAATTCAAAAAGGAATTTCACTGTTTTTAACGACAAAGGTATATAATGAATCATTTCTTATTCATTGAAGGGTAATTCCGCTTTACCACCGATTGCAGCCCAAGTTTCTAAGAGAGATCTGCTGAGTANGCCAATTGTAATACCTACCTTAATATACCGCATGTGGAAATAGCATTTTCGACTTGGCTGATCAGAGCACTGTTCTGAGGGTTGAGCGGAAAATATTCTTGACAGACCAAACATACGAACAAGAAACAATAAAATTGTAGTGAAAATTAGCTTCCATAATCACAATGGTCATCGCGTTGAATGAAGTTAGCCGTGAATACCAGTCCCAGATCCAGTACCAAATAACCGAAATAGTTATTTGGCGTTCACTGTGAGAAAAATCATGTATAATGAACTATGAATATGTGCCTCAAAATTTGGGCAAACCAGTATTAAAATTACACGCCGGATGAGGAGCTTAAAAAAGCAATATTCATGAGGTAGGTGCAAAAAGCACACACTAACAATACACACACGAAAAGTGAATAGAAAAGAATTGATAGTCAGTGTTTCACTCAGACGCCACTCTCCGTGTTATTGGTCTCATCAGGATTTGATCGGACTGCAAGAAACGAACTCCGTAATCTGTTGGCCTGATTTCAAGGCGTCTGGTGTAGCGCATCCAATAAAGAATGACCTAAGGAGTAGTATGAAATGTGATCAAGGCCAACTAGTTTGGTTTCAATATCACCGGACACATGATACGAGAAAATCAGACGTTACGGGCTCTTGTACACCGGAGACGGTTAACAAACAGGTGGTACATCAAGAATAAAATGATCCATAAGCATCTGAAACAAAATAGGAGGGACTCGAAGTGACTAATTTTTCTCGTAAAACGTAAACACCTTTTACAAATACTGTAGAAACCCTTATTATTCTTTGTAATACATGTTAAAAATTGAATTTCTCCCCAAAGACCAAACAAATGCTTAGAGTATTGAATCCTCTAACCACTTTTCAGGTGATTGCTGGTTTCTGGCAGCCATTTCATCCATATGCAATTATCCGGTTCTGCTAAACCAAGTGGTTCCACGAGATCAGGATCCATCTGCATCAGATTACGTGGGTATTTTTCGCGCTCGATTTTGGCATTTCGGTCACTGGGTTGAAGTATTGGTGGACGATCACATGCCGGTATATCGAGACNGCCGGTATATCGAGACACAAAGCAGCTGGTGTTCATGCGGTCCCGACAACCGGATGAATTCTGGTCAGCTTTGCTAGAAAAGGCTTATGCGAAGTATGTATAACTGTATACTCTCTCATAAGAAAACGTTTCACTGGTTTAGTTTTATTTCCAGGATATTTCTTTCGAAACAGCAAAAAGAATAACAGTAATCTTTGGTATGCTTAGTACGCATAACTTGTCATACATCGTTTTCAATGAGTAGGAGGCAAAATGAGATAAACTAGAAGCACGTAGATGGGGACAGCTGAACAAACAAAATTCAAGTCAATGCGAAAATAACCGAATCCATTTGGTCACCTTTGTATAATGATGATCGAGCACGAACCGTGTTTATTCGAGGGTTGAACAAAATGTGATTCTTGTTTTCAAACACCGATACGAGTCACTGCCATTTTGGAAGGATCCTACAAACATTATTTTATATGTTCCTGTTATGTTTATTCATCACTCTGTTTATCGTAATCCACTCAGGTTAAATGGTTCGTATGCCAATCTCATTGGTGGTATATTGTGCGAAGCCATGGAAGATCTAACCGGTGGCGTGGTGGAAACAATTTCTTTCGAAGAGGAGCGTCGACCCAAAGACCTAGTACGGTTACTACAATTGTACACTGAACGCTGCGTCCTCATGGGGTGTCATGTTGAGTTAAGTGTAAGTTTAACCCTAAGCAAATCGTTTTACCCGCTAGTAGATCAACTGTGATTTGGATTTATAAAATTCCTTGCCTCGCAATTATCCACGACTTCTCCAAGTCATCTGAAATTAGTATGAAATTTTCAACCGCAAAATGTTTAAAATTTCATTAAAGCAGGTGTGAAGATGCATCTAATGGCATTTAGGAATTTTGTAAGAAAACGCATACGTAGGATCGCAGGTCATGTGGAATCAAATTGTTCTACATGACCCTGCTTGGTTGTATAAAAACATTAATCCGTAAGAGTATTTCGCAAAATGACAAATTTTTGAACATCAGAGAACACTGAAACAGGCAAAAATAAAACAAGAGTTAACGGTCACCGGAAACACTCTGAATGCAGAACCAATTCGTTTGCGTTCATTGTTCATCTAATTGACATTGTTCGGGAAAAACTTTCACATGGATCCTCAGACACAATGGTGATAAAAATTAGAAACTATTGGCTGCCTTCGTTTCTGAAGGACAAATCATGCATACTTCAGGCATGTTAATACAGTTTATTTCATATCCCATGTGTTCATTGTGCTGCTCCAAAATAGGTCCAATTAGTCATGGTATAGTAGAGCAATAAAAGGATGTAAACAAGTTTAGTTTTTTGAAAGTACAATGACCAGAATTCCAATTAGCTTAACGTTGTCATGGTCCCATTAAGCCGATACAACCATGCGTTTTGCTACTCGAATCACTTTTCCAAAGGCCACTGAATTCGGGGACAGCTCTATAGACGCATAGTATCTGTCGGTTAAACAAAGTCTCCTAGGTATTGGGCAAGTTACGTAGGAATAAGTTTTGATCCTAATGGTTGTCTTTTCAAATGACCAGTTTGTTCACAGCTTTCACACATCGGACTTACACGAAATATGCACATGGCAAAATGAATGAAAAAATTGAACTCACATTCAAACAAAGCCCGTTTTTAGAGTTGGATATCGTATTTCTTCAGTCCAGTTGTCACTTTTATATACAAGCTCAACATTTCTGTTGCGCGTATCACTTGTACGAATCTATCGAGAACGAGTGAAAGAACATATATGTATATATCTATGCAACAAGATCATTAGGTCTACCCTCAAAACATCAAATGGGCAATCTAATATAGAAAATATTGAGTTTTGCCAGTAGGCAGCGGCAAGTTTCAAGCACACCATTGCAGTCAAACTGCAAAGAGCTGGAAAAAGCAACATTTTGCTAAACAGTCAAATGTTTTCATTCCATTTCTTTGCTAGTTCAAGGAGTGGTTTTCTGAGAAACAGTCGGTTCAAGGGTACAATTGATGTAACGAACGTTGTAAATGTCCGCAGAATACGGAGAAGTCCAATTACGTTTTGCAAGCCAAAGAGTGTTTCAACGTTCTGTGAACTCCTTGAATGCGTTTTAATAGCTTTAAATCCTTGAGTAGAACTTCTCACCTGGATACTTACGATGGAAAAACCTGTATGTCAGTAATCAAATGTAAACGAAGATAAAGCCATTTAAATGGGAACAGCCAAGTTGTTGGAAATGTGCTCAATCGCTCCACAACTAACTGTGTCGATGATCTATTTGTTATTCCAGCAGCAAAAGAAAGTTGCTGAAATCCATCGTCTGGTGAAACAAGATTGATCGGCAGTTGCGATCACTTGCACACGATTTTTTCAATGTATGTTATGCAACTAAGGTCAATCATACCGAATGATCACAAGAATGTAATGCAATTAATTCAAATTAGATGTGGTCAGACTAACTAGACAGCTGATCAATAAAGCACATGACACCTCATGCTAGCACGAGGAGACCAAAACAGCGCACGCAGAATGTGTATTCGATTTAATCGATCTAAATGTATTGCCTGGATTGGTTTTAGAAAGTCAAAGGTTTAGAGGTAAAAATGGATTTTGAAAACTGAGTGGCTAATGATAGTTTCCGATGTGAAAGCTCATGAGTACGCTGAATAAACTTGATCCCTCCGTTAGAGGCTATCAACACATAACTCAGTGTGGTTGACTAATGAGTTCATTATAGCTGAGCAAACGAAATTTATTGGTAAACTTTAGCCATGTACCCAGGTTTTCAAGCTGAACAATTTGTTAAATTCTCAGGTCAAAGATGGAGTAAAACCTGCGTCAGAATATAAAATAATTAATTCAAGCTTTTCTACCGAGCAGCACTGAGAGTTTTCACTGTTAGATGAGTTTGTGGCAAAGTAAAAAGCAAATTTTAATGGCCTCATATTTCCAGTCTTCTAATATAGTACCAGCGACTGCTTATTTTTCGTTTTAGACTCTTCTAAGGTGATAACAGAACTCCCTAATTTCCCAATACCAGTTACTTTTTCAACAGTAAAAGAAGAAGAAAATCAGCATTCGTTATTGTTCACAGAAATTGGGCATAAAACAGGTTGTTCGAAACCCAGAACAGTTATATACATGATCCATTGCAACCGAATCGCTAAGCTTTTGCCATCTAGTGGTGTTAAAAGTGGTTCAGCTATATTGTTAGCATCCGTCACCCAAATTAGTACTAATTTTGAATCGACAGAAGAACTGAAGTAAACACAACACTACTCTGAGGGAAATGTACACATCACTGGATGACTTACAATGTGCTTTGAAGTTGCTGAAACCTTTGGTTAAATGTACCTCTAACTGCTCCTTTCAAAAACGATATAACTAGATGATGTGTCCCAAGCTTCCGTCAACGTTAATGGCTATCTAAAAATGCGTCATAAATTACGTTGCAATCATTCATTGGCATTTCCAAAGAATAATTTATTGAGCACTTCGAAAAAGGCGTGCGAAGTTGAAAAAGGCAAAGATTTGGTTTTCTCAGAGGTTCCAGGAATCTGGCATCCACCTTGGTCAGTGTTTCATCTTGTATATACTTACCTGCGAATTATTTAAAAACATTATAGTTGAAATTATATTTTCCATGCTAATCGTATATATTGAAACACAAGTCCGAAGGCGAACAATTGTTTTCGAATGATTCATAATCGTGCCTGTACAGATCAT